CTTGAACTATGAATTATCGAAACAGTTTATGTTGTTTAGATGTTTGGATTGGATCTATTTGAATCATATGAATAAAAGCTTGTGAATTGTGTTGTTCTGGAAAAATGTCTTATAACCCCACTTTCAAGCTTGTAAGGTTTTACCTAATGCTTTTTAACTTGTAACCCTACCCTCAATAATTATTTTCTGACATACTTTTATTAATGTGTAATGTGCAGAAAAAATGGTGTTGGAAGGAGAGACATCAACTTCAAAAGGGCCAAGGAATGGGTATGTCTTATTTAGAGAGGAATTTGCAAAAGGGCAAAAATTCAAGGGTGTAGCCGATAGAACTAATAAGGTGAAAGAGGCATGGGCAAGGCTATCTATCAAGGAGAAGAAAATATATAGTGAAAGGGCCAAACAAATGAGGCCAGAGAAGAAGAAAAGTAAGAGAACATAGAAAATGTTCACCCGTTGCTCTGTTCATCAATTCATGTCACTGGCAGAATTTGTTAAAAGTGATGAAAGTTTAAGACAAAGGATAGAGAATATAGGATTCTCTAAGTTGTTGAATGTGGATTGTGACAGACTCCCACATGAGTTAATTGTAGCTTTCATTCTATCATACGACCCAGCAACACATCAATTCCGATTGAGAGGGAGGACAGAAGAAATTGAGGCAAATGATGTGGGAACATTGCTTGGTGTGCCCCATACTAGGCAAGAGTAAAAGGAGATATTGATGAAAATCATGACACATAAGAAACTAAGGAGAAAGTATGGTAACGTTGTATATAGCAAGATATTAGCTGACATAAAAAGTAGGAAGCATAATGAGCACTTTGAATTATTATTTATGTTGGTCACACTTTGCACATTTCTAGCCCCAACTTCAAGTGCAAAAGTTGGTGACAAGTTATTAAGGGTGGTGTGTTCAACTATGAATGGATATGAACAGTATGATTGGGTGGCATACATCATGAATGATCTCTACAAGGAAATGGAAGATTATGTGAATTTGTTTAGGAAAGAGAGGGATTGTGTTGCGCTATGGGTGGATGCCTGTACTTCTTGCTGGTATGTTTATAGTTAAACATGTTAAATATTGATGTCACTATTTAATTCAATTGGCTAATGTGGGGTGTTTTGTGATTGTCATTGCAGCTATATTTGGGTGAGAAATTCCTATTGTCAAAAGCTATTAACCATGACCCAACAAATGCTATTGCATATTGGATGGATGAGAGAATAAAGGAATTGGTCAACAAAGAGTCAAAGAGTAACATAGGCCTATTGTATAAAGGGAAGTCTACAAAAGTACAAGAAGATACAATAAGTGTTGCTTATCTATGTCTGGTATGTTTGTAGTTTTGTAAGTATAAACTTCATTAGTATGTAATGAGTTTAATCGTTTAACAAATGTGTTACGCAGGAATTGAAGGAAGTGCATCGAATGATGATGGATGCACATGAGAAAAGCCATAAATGGCTTAGTAACCAATTTGCAGAGGAGCTTATGAATGTGCAGCTCCATCTACAGGGGAATGCGAAGTTCAAATTTAAAGGACCCTGTTGACAACACAAGCAATGAGGCAGTGATTCTTCCATCTGATAGTAAAGGTGAAGAACGAGGTAGTGACAAAGGTGATAGTGATGGAAATACTGCTTAAGGTGAAGCCCATGATCAGGAAGGAGGTAGTGATGAAGGTGATGGCGATGGAGAGGAAGGAGACAGTGAGAAAGGTGATGTTGATGGAGATAAAGTTGATGATGATAGTAATGATGATGATGGAGGGGATGAAATGATTAACAAATTGCCCACCAATGTTGTGTATGATGAAAGAGATAAAGGAGTGGGGTCGTCAGATTAAGAGAATGACAAGGGAGAAGACCAAAGGACATCAAAGAGAACAATCATACCAAGTCGTGAAATCACTTCTCTGTAGATTTCCATGTTGAAGCCCGTTAAGAGAAGAAACAGAGTGATAACTAAGAAGGACAAGTTTTTCAACATTGTCTCTCGCATGCGTTCACGAGAGGAGGGTTAGAAGTAAGATATGCCATGCAATTTACATTAGAAGTAGGAAAGCTTTTTCATCTTATTTTGTTATTGTTGTTTGACTTACCTATGATGTACACATTACAGGATAAGGCTACAATGTGTGATGAACAAATTGATCGGGATCAGTTGTGTATGATAGGTAGAATCAAAAGAGCGAGTAGCCCTCTGATAACAATGGTCAGTAGGACATTAATGGCAGAGGCAGGTAAGGGAGGACAAGTGAGGCGACACATTTTTTATGCTGAATTCATGGTGAGCTTTGTGGTATCTATGTTTTTTTTTTGACAAATAAGGGTTGTGACGATTAAACTTATATGTTGTTTTGCAGATGAAAATGCTTGGTAACCCTTCATGGTGGCGAGCATCAGAGAACAAACGTGCAATTTTGCCATAGCATATCGAGTACAACCTAGCTGACTATGATTTAATATTTGGACTTGCAATTGTTGAGTCTCACTGGTTTTGCTTTGTGTTGGATCCAAAAACCATGCATTTTTATGTCTTGGATTCTATGAGGCCGACTAATGATATGTTAAAGAAGACCAAGAAAAAAGGATGTTTCATCTTCATGCATGTGTAAAGACTAAACTAATGTAGCTGCATATGACAAGTTTCCAATGTTTCCACAACTAGCGTACTCGTATTTTGGATTTTTGTTTTCTGTTTATAGAGAGACAACTTTTATGACATAATTGCATTAGTCAGACCTGAACTTGTTGGGAAGAAGCCTAAGAATGATATTATTTTTCCACCTATGCCACAACAGAACAATTTGTATGTTGTGTTGGCTGTTGGCATTGTTTTCTAATTTAAGATGTGAAGTTGAGAAGCAATCGCACTAACTAAAATGTTTTATTTCCCATTGGCTGTATAGGAGATATTATGGCGTTCATGTGTTGATCTGGCTAAGCAAATGGGTCCCAGAGGTGACATTTGACTTCAATAAGGCATGAAAGTTGTCTGTAATTAATGATTATTTAATTGTTCAATATGGTGGACACTAAAATATGCACTTGTCTTATACACAGAATCATGTAGTTGAGTTTAGGCATGATCTAATGTGGTGGCTAGTTAATCATTCGCTGAATTCAAGTTGAGAAGAAGCCTTCACTCTCCTTTTAGAACATCAGAAAAAGCCAACCACCAAAAGATGACGTTTGTCATAGTACTTATTAGGAGGTTCCTTATGCATGTCTATGTGACAATCTGATGTGGTTGCATCTTATTTAACTTTGGAGAGGATTTATGTACATGCCAAAAGGACTGATTTCAATATTAGTAATTGTGCGTTGTTAGCAACAAATTTTTACCATTTGAGACATTAGTAGTCAGAATTTATGTTGGATTTTACAACTCCAGTATAACTATTAACAACATCTTTATATATATTTACCACTTCAGTATGAGTACTCACAATAGCAATTTTAAGATAGAAAAAAGATCTGCCTGTTACAACTTCCGTTAAGCTTTTAACAACTCCTGTATAATCTTTTCACAACTCAGGTATACCTATTAACCACCTAGTTTCTTACATGCATACACCCTCGTCGGACAACCTGTTTAACGATCTGGAGAGAATTTTACAACTCCAGTGTATAGATTAACAATATCTATATATTTTTACAACTTTAGTATCAGTATTCATAGCAGCATTTTCAAGGGAAAAAAACCCCTTTTTACAACTTTAGTTAAGATTTTGAGAACTCCAATATAAGCTTTTCACAACTCATGTATATCCGTTAACCACCAGGTTTCTTACATGCTTACATACTCCTTGAAAGGCCTGTTTAAGGATCCAGGGAGAATTTTACAACTCCAATGTATAAATTAACAACATCTTTATATATATTTACAACTTTAGTATCGGTATTCACAACAACATTTTCAGGGGGAAAAAACCCCTTTTACAACTTCAGTTAAAATTTTAACAACTCCAGTATAAGCTTTTCACAACTCACGTATATTCATTAACTGCTTGGACTCTTACATGCTTAGACCCTCGTTGGACGGCTTGTTTAAGGATTCGGGGAGAATTTTACAACTCTAGTGTATGGATTAACAACATCTTTATATATTTTTACAACTTTAGTATCGGTATTCACAACAACATTTTCAAGGTAAAAAAAACCCCCCCTTTTACAACTTCGATTCAGATTTTAACAACTCCAGTATAAGCTTTTCACAACTCATGTATACTCGTTAACCACCTGGTCTCTTACATGCTTACACCCTCCTTGGACAGCTTGTTTAAGGATCCAAGGAGAATTTACAACTCCAGTGTATGGATTAAGAACATCTTTATATATCTTTACAACACCGTTAGATGGCCTGCTTAAGCATCTAAGGAGAATTTTACAACTCCAGTGAATGGATTTACAACATATTTATATATATTTACCATTTCATTATATGTATTCACAACAACATTTCCAATAATGAATAAACCCACCACATTACAACTTCAGTAAACCAGATAACAACCCTAAAATAAGCTTTTAACAACTCGAGTGTAAGTTTTTACAACTGTCATAAAAGGAAATGATCAGTAACGCCAATTTTTTAAACTCAGTTCATACAAAGATCATACTTAAAACATAAAACATAAGGCAAGAATATCAAACATGAATAATAAGTGGACTTGTCTTACAACTTCTGTCATAGTTAACAACACAATTAAAGGAAATAACAACTTCAGTAAAGGTATTTCCCTAAAACCAGATCCTTCCTGACAGTACTTACAATCAATGACAAGTTAACATTAATATTCCATCCCCACTTAATGTTTTCTTATCATTGACATCAAAATACACATTTCACTGACTATGTCTAACCTACAATATGGATTTATCACATGGCACAACCCTTCATCCAAAAAAATATGTAGAGTTGCAAAATATTTATAAGCCACAACAAAAAATGACTCTTACAAAATAAACCCACATGTGGACCACCAAGTTTAACTTCGGTTTGGATTTCTGCATGTTCTTTTACTATGCCTAGCTTCATGACACTGTCCACAATGGTAAATCTTCCTGTTTTGGAATTGGGATTCCCGCCTCCTAATTCTTGGCCTTCCCAAAGGTCTACTAGTTGTAGGTGGATATAGCAAGACTTGATTTGTTATATTTTCTAGCATATAATCATTAAGATTAGGCCTGTCAATTGTCACTACTAGAATCATGGTGTTCCCATGAATTTTCTCTTGGGATGTTATTTTATAACAGTCCTTCACAAAATCATACACATTTGTATGGACCACCTTTATTGCAGCACAAGCGTGTGCACACAGAATCACTGTCATTTTCCATGTAGTACAAGTGCATTCATGTGACTGAACATTGACATATAATGCTCCACACAAAGTATGTACACAGACCCTGCCACCTCTATAAGGTTTAGCATGCATATGAATCGATCTAGCCATATTTTCCATCACTTTTCCATCAATGCTTGAACCCATAGCATTTCTCCAGTTCTCCTTTGCCACACTTGCTGTGCACATCTTCCTTGCAACCTTCTCACGATGTCCATGAATAAGTTTGGCAACATTATGCCACCTCTCCTTTACAATCCAAGCATTGAATGACTCAGCAAGGTTCGTTGTTATGTTATCCCACCGTTTATATGAGAACTTGCTTATTACCTACTTATGAACATCACCGTGATTGTTAAGTCACTGAAGTAAATAAGGACTAAAATCTCCCATCCTTGTCATTGTCTTATCAAACTCAAAGTTAACCCTCGTATATGCAATGTCATCAAGCAACTTTAGTCTAACTTCCTTACGAATACCACTAGTTCTTCTCCTCCCTCTGTATAATTTATTCATTTCAGAGCTAAAATTTTCCTTCACATGCCTATAACAGTATGATTGACTATCACCTCCAAATATTACTCCAACAGCTCCTATTATTGCATTGTGACGATCTGACACAATAGTTAATTGGATTGCACCAACTATCTGTTTTATCATGTTTAGGAACCATGCCTACTTCTCACAAGTCTCTCCCTTCACAATAGCATATGCGAATGGTAACAATTCATTGTCCGTATCATATGCTGAGGCTAATAGCAGTGTTCTCCTATATGGTCCACTCAAATGTGTTATATCTATGTACAGTATATGTCTTGTCCTAGACAAAAAACCCTCTACACAACAATCATATGCTATGAAAACACGCTCAAATATGTTGTTAACAGTTGCTACCCATTCAATTATCGTCTTCTCATCAGTTTCCTTCAATAGTTAACATATCCATAATATCAACGTGTATGACTATTCAGGCTTCTCTTGTATTTCCTCTAATACTTTTTCTTTAGCCCTATATGCTTGTTTATATGTCAACTTTGTTAGAAACAATCTCACCCAAGAGGGGGGTGAATTGGGTGAGTTACAAAAATTTCCAATCAAAAGCGTGTCAGTATTGAATAAAAACAGAGAGTCAGAGTATGAAGAATTTTAACCGCAGAGAGGAGACACAAGATTTATACTGGTTCGGTCTAAACCACGTGACCTACTTCCAGTCCCCAGAACACCTCTGAGTATTTCACTATCTTCCAAGATCGACAGGGCTCTTGGTGCCTCGGTACAGTAATTGAATCGCTCAATCACTCCCCCTTACTCCCGTAAGGATACAACCCCTCTCAAGAGTCCACACTCTTGAGTGTCACTCAAGTCTTTAATAAGAGTAGTAATTGGCTCTCTTACAGAGTGAATTTAATGATAAACACTGATGCTCGGTAGTAACGTGAAAACAGAGTATTGAATGCGTAACTAAATAATCGCAGGTGGTAGTTCCGGTATTCAATCTCTTCATTAATGCTTCTTCGCGCCTTTTATAGTTGATATCGTTAAGTAGCCGTTAGACGGAAGAGCTTCTAGCCGTTGTGACTTCGTTTGCGTGTTTCGCTGGTTTCAACGGCTCCGCCATTAATGCGTCTGAGCTTCTGACACTGTAGGTCGCAGTCTACGTAATCCCGTTGAAGAGCCGTTGCCCTCGTTTTCATTAATCTGCATATTTTGAGCAAATGAGAGTTTTGTGGTGAATGCTTTAATCTCGAACACAGAGAGAAAACCAATTTATCATTCAAAGATTTGTGACGAAATCATTTATCAGTAAGAAGAACAGAAAGTCATTCTGGTTTAGTTTGATCGAAAAGATGATCGATTACTTGATGATAGATCAAGTTATCGATAAACAGAATGAAGACTTTTCGAATTAGATCACCAATATTATCGATCAAGTGTTGGATCATTGACTCTAAGAATTATCATAGAAAGAGGAAATCGTTCCATGATCGAACAAGTGATCGAACATATGTTTGATCGAACAGATTATCGAAAATTTAAATGTTATTGAAATGAAGCTTCAGTCATTGATGATCGAACATCTTATCGATAAATGTATGATGGATAATGTTATCGATAAACCATGGGTATGTATATATTCAATGAAAGACACAGCTATCTGAAATGATCGAACAGTTGATCGATCAATGAACATTCGAACAAGTGATCGATAAAGTGAAGAAAGAAATTTATCCTTGTAAGACAGAGAAAATGATTATCGATCACGTTTTGTGAAAACATGAGTTCCAGGGAATTGAATGATCGATCATATTATCGAAAAACCAGTGATCGATTTGGTGATCGAAAAATAGTTCACCATAACTTAATGTGAAAATAGCAATCCTTAGACTCTTTATCGATCATGTTATGTGAAAACTTATTTAAGCAAACAAGTTAAATTTATCGATAACATTATCGATAATTTGGTTGTAGGAAAAACTGAATAAGAGTAGATAAGGACATTGATTATCGATCATGTGATCGATAATTTTATGATCAATAAGTTTATCGATCCATCTGTAAAGATGATTACCTGCATTCAGAGAGTTAGAGCATAAAGTTCGAACACGTAATCGATAAACAAATGATCGAGAATATGATCGATAAATTGGTAACAGAATTAATGTGCAGAACAAGTAGATTATGTTACCTTTTATCGAAGTCGTTATTGATGACTGATTTATCGATCACTTGATCGATAAATACACTTCAGATTTGGTTCTCTTATCAGTAACTCGATTGTTTACCTGATATTATCGATCAGTTTATCGATAATTAACCATACTCTTATGTGATTTTTACGATAGCGATAATCGATCACTTTATCGATTAATTGCTCATCGAATAGTTCTTCGATCCGAATACCTACTATAAACCTGATTTACATTTGAGCAATTATCTGAAACCTTAGCGATAAACAATTGATCGATCAGTTGATCGATCAAAATACTTAACCTTGATATTCTGACTTTGTTATCATCAAAACTATAATCCTAACATTCTCCCCCTTTTTGATGATGACAAAACATAAGTTATAAATCATCTATCAGAGAGAACATCAACCAGTTTTATATCCTCATAAAGCATGAAAAGAGCAGATAAATATCAAGAACATATTATCGATAAAAACACTATCCAGATACACAAAAGGAGATAACATAAAGTCATGACATAGAACCAAAAAGCAACTCATAAAACCATATAAGCTACGAAATATCATCAGTTTTCTTCTCCCCCTTTTTGTCAGCATCAGAAGGGGTAGGAACCGAAGGAATGGTCAGGGGAATAGGGAGAGGAGGAAGGGGAAAAAGTGGAGAAATAGATGGAAAATGAAAGGAGTGAACAGGTTGGGGTACAGTGATAAGAGCAAGAGTAGTAGGGACTGGAATAGAAGTAGATGGAACAGAAGGAGAAGTGGTGGAAATAGGAGAAGTGGGTAAGGGAGAGGAAGGAGGTGCAGGCTCAGGGTGCGGTGGAGAGGTAGGATGAAAGAGGAGATCCTCATAGCTGAAGCTTGTGCTAGGTGCAGTGAAGTGCTGGCAGAGAGAGGTAACTAAGCCTTTAAGCTCTTGGAGTTCCTTGTCCACTGAATTAAACCTCTCGGTCACTTCTCTTTCCAAAACCACCATAGCTTGTTGGTGAAGATCCAGAATCTTAGAGATGCCATCAAACTTCCGGTCAGAAACTTCCCCATAGTCTCTGGCAGTGGAGTAGACTCTGGTCTCAAATGCGCGAAGCTCAGCCTGAAACATTTCCCTGAGGATCTCTCCATAAAAGATGGACCAGGGGTATGAGATGGAGCAGCAGTGGATTCAGCTTCATCCTGGGTCCGAGATGTACTAGCAGCAGGTTGCTTTCCCTTATCCTTCTGAGATACTTTCTGTGATGGTGTAAAGGGAACAGAGATCCTCATTTTGTGGAGCTGAGTGAGGCCAAAACCAGGAACCTTAGTCTTGATTTCCCCAGGCTCAAATGGAGCAATGTTATGTGCCTGAAGGAAATAGGTGGCCAGCTGAGGATAGGGAATTGGGGTTGATCTGGACTTGTTAAGAACAAAGTCCTTCATCTCAGAGTAAATAAGATCCCCAATATTAATCTTTTCCCCACTAATAATCCGGGCTAGAAGAAGATAATCATCCTGAGTGAGATGTGAGAAACTACCGGATTTGTTTACCATGCACCTAGAATAGATGTAATGGATGATCCTATAGAAATCACACATCTGCTTAGGGGGAAAATTCAGCTCACCGGGATAATCACTATTCTGCATTAAAATTCTATAAGCCTTTACTTCATTCATGTCACCACCTCGCACAAAATCTTGAGTCCCTAGCAGCTCATTTATTTTGGCACTGGTGAGTTTAAAAGCTCTGCCTCTCAGTGTAACTTTCAGACAATTTTCTATGAGATTGTCTTTATCATCATATTTTTCTACTGATTCCATATTACAGTAGAATCTTTTAACCACTTCGGGACAGTATTCACCACCAATGATTAACCAATTCGAATAATGCTGCAGTGGGTCACTTAAATCAAGATCAATCTGTTTATTTTTCCTCAGACCCTCTAAGTCCACAGATACCACAGGACAGAATTTTCTATTGGCAAAATCGGCCTTATACTTTGCTATATTAACTTCATTATCGAGATTGCCAGATAATAACTCAGAAAATTCAGTGGGTATACCTTCAGGAGGAATTTCCCGAGCGACTCCTTCACTTGCCCTCTGTTTCTTCTTTCTCGGTTGCTTGGGGACAGATATATTCAAGGCGGATTCCACGGCTTTCTGAACTGAGACTCCATCATCCGACTCGGTCTCCGATTCTTCAGTCACTATCGGTAACTTTGATTTGGACCGGGGAGATTTTCTGAGAGAGGCCGGTTGTTCTTCGGCCCGACTTTCCCGGATTTTCAGAGTAGCCCTCTTCTTCGTTGATTCCTCCCTTACCTTCGGTCTATAACGTTTTCGAGTACCCGAAGCAGTGGTGTCGCTCGATTGAGGTTGTTTCTCCTGCGCTTCTCCCTTTTCGACATTTGGTTGCTTCACCCGAGCCATTTCGGAAGTGCCGAGGGGTTTTTGTCAGATTAATCGGTTGGGAAACGGTGATTTTGAGGTGGGTGAAGGTTGGAAAGTAGCAGAGAAGGATTCGATCGGAGGAACGGTTGAAGAATTTAAGATAGTGGTGATTCCTGACCGTTGCGAAAAACAGGGGACCGGTATTTTTCGAGTTAGGGTTCGAAAACTGACGAAGGGATTTCAGAACAGTACCGTTATAGTCTTCGAAATTATCGATCAAGTTATCGATCAACACTTGATCGATCACGTGTTCGATAATTATGAAGAACACACTTGAACATAGAGCAGATTTATCGATTACGTTATCGATCATGCATTTATCGGACATATTATCGATAAAGTCAGTAAAAAAGGAATGCGTACCTGATATAGTTTATCGATCATTTGTTCGATAATTAAGCTTATCGGTCAGCTTATCGATCAATGCTTACCAATTTTGACGGATGGGTCTCGAATCCTTGAGGCTCTTGATCGATGTTCTGATCGATATTGAGTTTATCGATCACGTTATCGATAATTGTAGTGTTGGAGCAATTCCCTTTCTTTA